ATTACCTCGTCTCCATAGTTACTATTTGCAAATAGTCAATAACATTGGAGGTTCATTTTATTGTTGTTCTTTCTACGCGCCGTTATAACACATTTTCATCTCATCATTTAATTTCTGTTGTGCATATATTGTTGTATAGAAGATATTTTAAAGTGATTCATTAACAAATATTTTAGGGTGATATCTGAAAGTTTTTATTAACAAAATACTTGTAAATGTTGTTTAAAACGAGCTAAATTATTCACGTAAACATTTTTTGTTCCCATAGTTCTAAATACAGATCATACTTTTATTATTTTTCTGTACATAGTGTTTGTAGTTTCATTCAACACGTTTCAGCATAATATAATCTGCAGTACAATGCGTCAACTTTCCAGTCAATTCTCATTTGAGAGTGAGTAAAAGACATTATACAGCAATGATTAATAATTCCGTTTCTGAACACGTATCTTCTGCCGCTCTCCCAGACTGGGCGTTTTCTTAACACATTTTGACGAATCGTGATTTTTACGCTAATTTCTGCAGAAACGTTTCGAAAATAATTCCCGAGTTGCTTCCATAATTTTTTTAAATTCAGTAACTTTTTGCTCAAACGTCAATTAGCTTGGACAACTCTTTTCACTATCTGTGTTGGATGATAATTTATAAAACAACAACAAAAAAAAACAGTTGGTCTTCATTCAAAGTTCACTTGCTACTCGCTTAGAGGAAAAGTTTTTTGAACCATGAAGTTACTTATGACCAGATATACTTTCTCTGAGTTAATAATCTCTTAAGCATTTATAATAACTGACCGAAAATCCAGAGATAATGGGTTATGTAAACACTTAAAAGCCTTCGAGACTTTTAATATTCTGCATTAAACATCCCATATATATTTATAAAATACCTTAAAAGAAAAGCCAGAATGGGAAAAAGCGGTGTTTTGATTTGGACAATTTTTTAACTTAAATACTATCAAGGATGACATTTATACTACAAAGTGTTTGGGCGTAACCTTTTTTTAATATATTTTTTTTAGAATGAAGATTTTTTCCTTATCACACAAACAGATTATTTAATGTGATGTTTAGAGTCTTCAAGCAATAACTTGATACCTGATAAGACGAGTTCTATCAGTGACATATTTGGACGTCACGTCACCTACTTGCTTGAAATGCAAGGTTGGACACCGAGTAAATGAGCCTCAAAACTCTTATTTCTAATTAGTAGTTTTTGCACATACTCGATAATTTAGGAAAGCCTACAATGTAAGAACGCTTTCCTTGCAATGTTTCAGACTAAATACATTTATGAAACTTATATTGTTCTTCTTAAAATAGTAATTAATGCTAAGAATGAATTTCAAGTAACTTTTGAAAATGCTTTAATCATAACTTGTGATCATTCTGTTTTTGTTATTTCAAAATCTTCATAAAAAAAAAGTCAGCAGACTAATTTGTTTGTTTATTTGTTGCTAAGCGCAGAGCTACATAATAATCTATTAACGCTTTAATGTTCTGCCCACCTCGGGTATTGAAACCTGATTTTTACTCTTATAAGCCCTTAGAACGACCGATTACCCAACTGGGGAGTGTGCACAACAAGTTGAAACCTTGTTTGTTTGTTTGTTATTAAGCACAAAGCTACACAATGGGCTATCTGGGCTCTGCCCACCAAGGGTATCGAAACCCGGATTCTAGATTCTAGCGTTGTAAGTCCGCAGACATACCGCTGAGCCACTGGGGGGGGGGGGGCAGTTGAAACCTTACGATATCAGTAGAGATAAAATTAGGTTAACATTCAACGTTTTATACATTTAATGAAACGAAAGATAGATAACATATAAAAGATTTTAATCCTAGCATTACTGATGAGTTCAGATTTTTCAACATATTTTTCGAAACTATTCATGCATTAAATTATTGTTATACCGTATCTTTGTTGGTTATAAGTTTCCTATTAGCATATGAGTTAACAAATGTTAAATAAAATACTGTCCATACTGCATAGTTAATCCCACTAATTACTAATGGGGTGTCTCATGTATTTTAGTTCCACAGTGGCTCAGCGGTAAGTCTGAAAGCATATAACGCTAAAAACCGGGTTTCGATATCCATGGTAGGCGCAGAACAAATAGCCCATTGCGTAACTTTGAGCATGACGACAAAAAACAATAATCAACAACCCACTATTTTACACAAAAAGTGAATGATTTAATCCAATATTTTAGTCAGTTTTTCACACTGAGCTGAAAATAAAAACATTACTCGTTATGTTGCGATATGTAGATAAATCGATAATTCGAAGGTCAACACGCTTCTTTAAAGTTTATTTGATCTTTATTCTAAGTTTACTTGCTATTCGTTTTAAGAAAACTTTTCATGAAGCATGAAATTACTTATGACCATATATACTTTCTCCTAGGCGTGCCTTTAACTGAATTAATAATCTCCTAAACATTTATAATAACCGACCGAAAACCCAGAGATGATGGGTTATGTAAACACTTAAAAGCCTTCGAGACTTTTAATATTCTGTTTCAAAATTAATAAATAAAGAATATAATTAATCCCACTAATTACTAATGGGGTGTCTCGTGTATTTTAATTCCACAGTGGCTCAGCGGTAAGTGTGAAAGCATATAACGCTAAAAACCGGGTTTCGATATCCATGGTGGGCACAGCATATTACTCATAGTACAGTCTTAGTAATAAACATAAACTATGACTTTGAGACAGGATAATTAGAGAAATGGGCCTAGCATGGCCTATTGGTTAGGACACTCGACTCGCAATCTGAGGATCGTGGGTTCGAATCTTACCACCGAACATGCTCGACCTTTCAGCCGTTAAAACGTGACGGTCAATCTCACTATTCGTTGGTAAAAAATAGCCTAAGAGTTGGCGGTGGGTGGTGTTGACTAGCTGCCTTTCGTCTAGTCTATCATTCCTAAGTTAGGTTACGGCTGGTGTAGATAGCCCTCGAGTAACCTTGCACAAAATTCAATAAAACTAACAAAAATTAGAGAAATAAATCCCAAAAGGACAAGAAAAGTTCTGTTACATAAACGCATTCCTGTCAATAATCCTTTGCAGTATTTATCCCAGGAATTCTCGATAGCACATTCCCTTGCAATATCATTTCGTTTCCCTTGCGATGTCATTTCGTTTTGATCACATGCCAAATATAAAGGGCTGATTGAGAGAGAAAGCTATAAGATGGAAAAAAAAGAGTCACACAAGAAATATTCGAAT